CAGTCCCTTCTCCCCCATCCCACCGCTCCCAGCCCCAGAGCCGCCGCAGGACGGGCACAGCCGGCCGTGGGGCTGGTACCCTCCCCGGACCCCCCCTAAAAAAAGACACAAAGATATATATATATATATATATAAAAAACAAAATTCTAAGGGCTTAGTACTTGCCTAGTGTCCTCCTTCTTTCTCCTTCCCACGCAAATATGAGTACTGCTAGATGACATTCAGCACCTACAGTAAATCATTTCTTGATGTCATTAAAAGGACAGATACATCTGCGAAGTCCAGACCTACGTAATTACTTCCAACTCAGTTTAAAGAAAGCCGACAGCAACCAACCTCCCCTTTTCACTTCAATTTCACTAGGCCAACGCTAACAGACAGATCCGAGGGGTAATCTCTACGGACAAACGCTGTCTATCCGAGCTGTAAGTGTCCCTGGCCTCCAGGTGAAGGAAACACAGCCTTTTTCCCTCCTGTCTTCACGTCCACCCTCCCACAGAGACACGTCCCCCCCCGCACAGGTTACTGTCACTCGCCAGAGCTGCTGCCCTGCAGCTCTAACTTCCCACAGAGCTCCTGTGCCAGCGAACTCGGGGACAGCTCACCACGCCAGGCAGCTGCGTGTCACAACTCCCACAAAAACCAGCACCAAAGGCTGGGAAGCTGCCCCCCAACCCCAGCCCCGTCACCCCCTCCCTTCCCTCTCCTCCCCAGCCCGGCTCCCCTCAGCCCCCGTCCTCTCCCAGTCCCTTCTCCCCCATCCCACCGCTCCCAGCCCCAGAGCCGCCGCAGGACGGGCACAGCCGGCCGTGGGGCTGGTACCCTCCCCGGACCCCCCCTACTCCCAGCCCGGAGGCCCCTCGAGCAGCCCCGGGGGGGCCCCGCCGCTGCCGCACCCCCGAGAAGCTTCACCGGGAAGCGGCCCCGGGACGCCCGGCACCCCCAGACCCGGTACCCAGCGAGAAAAGCGGCGGGGGTGCGTGTGTGTGGGGTGAGTTTATCCCCCAAACCCGCTGACTGACCCCGCCGGGACCTGCCTGTCAGAGGCGAAGCCGTGGCGCGCGCCCCCTCAGCCGGTGCCGCCGCCGCCCCACAGCCACGGCTCCCGCTCCCACCTCCACCACTCACCTGGTGCCGGCCGGCGGCAGCGGGCCACGTCCGCTGCGCCCGGGAGGGAGGCGGGAGGAGGGAAGGAGGGTGTCCGCCGGCCCGTCCCCGTCCCTGCCGCTTCCTGCCACGGCCCCGCCGCCGCCCCAGGCGCGGCTCCCCCCCCCCTCTGCCAGGCGCGGCCAATCGCTCGGCGATCGGCTCCACAGCCTGCCCGCCGCGGGCGGGAGGGAAGGGAGCGGGTATCGGCGTTCGCCTACCCAGCCCGGCAGCTCAGGCCACGCAGCAGAGCGGCGCCGCCTACATCGATCGCGCCCCCTTGCATCGGTGCTCGATTCAGCCGCCTGCGCGGTCCCGCCGTTAACGGCCCGGGTTGTTACCTCAGAAGCGGGGGGCTCCTTAGGGCTTGGGGTGGGCGGTGCTGGGGCCTGTGGGAGCCTCAGGTGTGTGAGGGGTGGTGTTGGCGGCTATGGTAGCCTCAGGTGTGTGAGGGGTGGTGTTGGGGGCTGTGGTAGCCTCAGGTGTGTGAGGGGCGGTGCTGGGGCCTATGGTGGCTTCAGGTGTGTGAGGGGCGGTGCTGGGGCCTATGGTGGCTTCAGGTGTGTGAGGGGTGGTGTTGGGGGCTATGGTAGCCTCAGGTGTGTGAGGGGTGGTGTTGAGGCCTATAGCGGGCTCAGGTGTGTGAAGGGCTGGGTCGGGGCCTATAGCGGGTTTAGGGGTGTGAGGGGCTGGGCGAGGGTCTATAGTGGGTTTAGGTGTGAGGGGCTGAGTCGGGGCCTATAGCAGGTTTAGGTGCCTGAGGGGTAGTGTCGGGGCTTGTAGCAGGCTCAGGTGTGTGAGGGGCTGGGCGGGAGCCTATAGCGGGTTTAGGTGTGTGAGGGGCTGGGTGGGGGCCTATAGCGGGTTTAGGTGTGTGAGGGGCTGGGTGGGGGCCTATAGCGGGTTTAGGTGTGTGAGAGGGGGTGGCGACGGTGGAGGCCAGTCGCAGAGCAGGTCTGAGTCTTTAAGTACCTGCTGTCAGGCTTGGGAGAGCTTTAGCAGTGGCCGTGTGTCCTAGGGCAGGTCACGTCAGGCAGAGATTCCTTACCAAAAAAAAAAAGAAGGTCTGGCTTAATAGTGGCGTGCTTGGAGGAAAGGCCTCAAAGGAGAAGGAGCTTTAGCTGTGGTTAAGAGATCTGGATTAGGAAGAGGTCAGAGCAAAGAGACAGGGTAAGGTGATATAATGTTGTTCTTGCCACGCTTTGAGTCTAAAGGTGAATACTCCTTGTTTTATAGCTGTAGAGCCCTACAATGGCTCATCCTTTGATAGTTCTTGAATATTTTTCTGCTAAATAAAGCTGTAGGGGCAGAGGTTCATCTTCTGCTTCATACAACCTGATTCTGCTAGCTCGCTTCCAGCAACTATTTTCCTTCTGGGCTTTCTTCTAGGACCGTCATCACACAGCCCTTTGAAACTAAAGATACAGAAACTTGAAAGCCATGTGTTCCAGGCTGAGGGTGTTGGTATGCATTCTGCTCTTCAAAGGCTGAGGTACTATATTACAGGTTTTCTCATTGCAGTCATCTAATTCATACAATAAACGAGTTGCCATGATCTCTGTTTATAAGCTGAGCTTTGGAATGTTTTTGTCTCTGTTTCTTACAAATGGAAAGAAAAACATAAGTGACCATGACTTCGGTGTCAGCTACTCTGTGAGTAGCTGATGCTGACAAAGCAAGAGGCAGAAATCTTTCTTCTAACCAAGTGAATGTATATAAAACAATAAGTGAATTGTGATGAGAAAAACAGCATTGATGAAAACATGAGCCAAGAACAATAGCTTGGCAGAGAAGTTTAAATTTTCCCTGAGAGCTCTTTGGGGCGTAGACAGTTAAGTTTCTGCATTTGTAAGGGAAACATGGCATTCCTTAAAGCTGAACCTCCTCCCTTGGGTTCCCACTGAATGCCTGAGAGATGACAGTAGAGGGTGTCTCCAGAAGGCTAATATTAAACATGAGGAATTAGTACGGAGGGAGCAAGTGAGATTCCAGTTTTGACCACAGACTGAGCTAAAAAAATTTTGCATCAGCAGCTGCGTGCGGCCAATGAGTAAGAAACTGCACACAGCCCCTTTTTTCTGTTCAAAGGGTTCTTCTGTGCCCTCGTATTAGCAAATGCACCTGCCCTTTGTGAGGTGTGTGAAAGACGGGCTGCTCCCGAAGGATAAATCGGCTTCAGACAAACGCAAAGCGCTGAGGCAGTGTGTCGAGGGATAAACTAACCTTGGAAGGGCAGCCTTGGTTCAGACAGGCTTGCAACTGGTTTGCTCTCCACAGCAGTAGGAAGCAGGCTTGCAGGGGAGCTGATGGACTAAATATGTGGGCAGACGGGAAGAGATACAGACAGGAAATGGGGAAGAAAAGGGGGGAAATAGCATTTATAAAGCTTTAAGGGCAGCCTGGTTAGTTCTGAGAGAGAGATTTAGCTGGTCCCACCTCTTATTTTTAAAAAACTCTGCGACTGGTTGACTTTTAAGAAAGTGTTTTGAACAATCCAAGCCAGGCTTGCGGGGAGAGGACAAGCCCGTGGGCGCTGGGTGCAGCGTGGGCACCCACCCGTCGGTCACCACACCCTTTCCTGTTCGCCCTGTGGCCACGGGTGGCCCTGCCAGCTCCCGCTGCCCCGGTGAGGGGAAAGGTAAAGGGATTGCATTCCAAAATGCTGCTAACCCCCAGCGCCTGGCACAACTTGGCAACAGAGATGTGGCAGAGAGCAGCTCTGGTGTCACATCTCCCGTGTGCCAAGGCGAATGTCCCTCGAATGGGACATTGGCTCGATAGCGTTTGCCTTGTGGCTGCCTCTCAGCCTCGTCTCCCGTAAAAGGTAATATTTACTTATGTAAAAAAGGTCTGGGGCGTACTTTGCGTGGGTGTTGCGAGTTAAAAATTGTCAGTCAGGGCAAACAGATCTTTGGGGTGAACTGCGGGGAAGCAAAGTGCAACTCCGTGTGTGATGACAGTCACAAAGCCTGTGACCCCGTGCTCCCGGCGGCTGCCGAGCGCCCGGTTCAGCCGGTCTGGTTTTGAAGCTCAGGCCTCCTTTTAGATAAAACGCCATCCTATTCCTTTTCCCTGGGTTAGGTGTTCACGGTACCTCGGTGAGTCAGTAAGTTGTGCATTTGGGGAATGCACCTCACGACTGTTGAGGTGTGAGCGTTCAGCGTGGCACTGCTGGAGGCAATTAGGCTAATTAGTTCTCCCCAAGTGACTTAGAGTTGCAGAAAATGGCTAAGTGAGGTATTTAGCCTGAAATATCAACGGGAGACGCTTTCATAGGGAAGGGAATCTTGTATTTAATGGTTCCTGCATGCAAATTTCAGTGCCCACTCAGGAGGTCACCTGTACCCAGCAGATGGGAGATGTTCGTTATGGTTTTGGGTGCTTCTGGGAAAGCTGCTGTCTGCCAGCATGAAGGGACAACTTCACACACCTGGGTGAATGCGAGATCCCAGTGCTGTGGTGGTGCTTTGAGGAACAAGGAAGTAATTTCTGTATTTAAAAAAAATAAATAAATCATCGAAAAGTAGCGTGTCATGAGAGCTCTCTTCCCACCACCTTGATGTCCTGCTCCCTGCCTGGTGAGCGGCGGCACCGCTGCGTGTCCTGCCATACAGGTGTTTCATGGCAGATGGGGTCATCCTGGTGGCAAAAAGCAGAGACACGGGACTCTGGAGGTCCAGACGAAGCCCCTTTCCCCTAAACCCTTCCAAGAGCAAAACCAGAAGAATAAATCCTGCTGGAGACTTGCCGGCGGGACGGGGATTCGAACCCGCGACTCTCCCCCCTTCCTCGAGGACCCCTTCTTTAGCTGCCCGCCGCGTTCGCCGGGCGGAGGCGCTCCGGAAGCGGAAGTGTCGGCGCGGGTTCCAGTCGCCGTTGCCGGGCGGAGGCGCGGGCCCGCGGCGGTTGCGTCCCGTCGCTATGAGCGCGGCCGGGCTGGTGTCTGCCACGCCGCCGGCCCCCGCTCCGCCCGGGGCCCCCCCCACCGCCATGCCCCCCGGTCCCGAGTACTACGAGGAGGAGGAGCTGGAGAGCGCCGAGGAAGAGGACGGCGAGCGGAGCGCTCGGGCCCGTGACTCCGATGAGGGTCGGTAGCGGGGCGGGCTGGGCCGCAGCGGGGTGGATGAGGGGTTTGGTGCCCTGGGAGGGTGGGGAGTGGGGAAGGGGGGAGAAGTAGGGGTGCCTGAGACTCCTGGGAGGAGAGAGGGGGCTCCCACTGGCGTGGTGGGTTAAAAAGGGGAATGCTGTGGAACAGGAACGCTGAGGAGGTGGGGGAGAGTGGGTAAGAAAGGCCTGGGCCCGGTTTGGTGGAGAAGGGGTGTGGAGCAGCAAGAAAAAGTGAAGAAAAAAGCATGTTAAAATGCTGGGGTGCCCTATGGAAGAGCGGAAAAGCGAAACCAATGGAGAGGTGGAATTGAAGTGGTTTCCCAGGTGAAGGAGAGGTAACGAGGGAAGGGAGGAGCACTGAGGAGGTGGGATTGAGTGTATGGGGCAACCGGGTAAAAGCCGGGAAGAAATCCGGTGGGTGAAGCTTGGTCATATTTCTGTGGTGTGAAGGGGCAAGGAAGGAGACTCTTAAAGTAGAAGAAAGTGCAAACAGAAGTTAGGGTGTGCAAGAGGCTGTTAGAGGAAAGAGGGGGTTCACAGAAAGACCAGGGAAGCAGTGGAGGAGAGGAAATGGAAGTAAAACCCAGAGTATTCTGGGGTGTAGGATCCATAAAATAACAAATAAGGGAGACAAAGAATGACCCTTTGATGGTGTCTGTTGCTGTGTCAGCCAGAGTCCTCCATCACGTCTGGTACATTTAGGAATGAGGTGCTGGAGCCAAACCTGTAGCCCCTCACAAAGGGTGGCACCCAGATCAGTGGGGGGTTCTCCGTGGCTGCACATCCAAGCATGGAAGTCTCCTTTATGGTGACTGAGACATTTCTTATTTTATCTTTGGTCTGTTGAATTTTATCTTAATGCATGTAGGCTTAAAGCATTTGTTCACAGTTAAAGAAAAATCTAAGGTTTGATGTAAAGGACTGGTGTCCCCCGTCCATGTGTAGGGAGTGTAGCTGAAGTTTAGGCTTTACAGCTGTGCCCTGCCTACCACAGCTCCAGCCTGGAGCACAGACCTCTCCCTGGGGGGGAACATAATTAATTCTTGGCTACCCATGTCTTATAAATAGAAGCTTGAAAAGGCATTGCAGAAAACTAGCAGTCCCATATGGATTTAATTTGTTTATAGTTTATATTCTCCATTCATAAAATTGGGGCTATCTTTAGGGTAGTGCTGGTCTTTGTTCTGAATAAATGTTGAGGTAGTTCTGTGCAATTTCTAGCTGAGAAGTCGAGTTCAGATCACAGCAAGTAACTGTTATCTTTAGCGAGACCTTTGTGGTTGACCCTAACAGTGTCTAGTCATAGTATTTTCATTTTGGAGTGGTTCAGGTCAAGATGCAGAATCAGTTGCAGCTGTTTTGGTCATTCTCTCCTGTACAGAGTATTATGTCATGGGCAAAACTATAGGAAGAAGTGTGTGAAATGTTTTTTAAACTGTTTCTGTCTCACGTTTGTCTGTGAGTGTTAATGTAGAACCTGTTGTCTTAAAATGGGAAGAAATTACTAGAGTAGGTGCAGCTGAAGTTGTTTAGGTTTGACGTAAGTTACATCGCAGAATTACCAGAGGGTTTACTTGGGTTTACTTGTGGTTGCAGGAGAAGAGATGGTTCATTTCACTTCTGAATTCATCTCTCCAGAGGCCTATCTGGTTGTGTATTTGAGGTTAAATTGCCTGAGGTTTGGGGGTTTGTTTGTTTCTTTGTTTTTAAATAATTTACTACTTTTTTTTTTTTAGTGCTGCTCTAGTTTTAACAAGCTGTTCTTATACCTCATTTAGACACTGAGGATGCCAGTGAAACTGACCTGGCAAAACATGAGGAAGAGGACTTTGTAGAAATGAAAGAACAGTAAGTAAGAGATGGTTCATTTCACTTCTGAATTCATCTCTCCAGAGGCCTATCTGGTTGTGTATTTGAGGTTAAATTGCCTGAGGTTTGGGGGTTTGTTTGTTTCTTTGTTTTTAATTAATTTACTACTTTTTTTTAGTGCTGCTTTAGTTTTAACAAGCTGTTCTTATACCTCATTTAGACACTGAGGATGCCAGTGAAACTGACCTGGCAAAACATGAGGAAGAGGACTTTGTAGAAATGAAAGAACAGTAAGTAATTCATTCTAATGAAAAGTAAGGTAGTGTTCTGTTTATTTGGGGTTTGGGTGATTGTTTGGGGTTTGTTTTGCATAAAACTTGCAACATAATAGCTAAAGAGTCCATATACCTGTATTTTTTTCTTCTCCTCCGTTTGGGGTTTGTTTTGCATAAAACTTGCAATGTTTTATGCCAAGATTGGAGTTTGTAAGTGTGTAGCCCAACGTAATAGCTAAAGAGTCCATATACTTGTATTTTTTTCTCTCCTCAGTTACTTTCTGTGTTCTATATTCAAGAAACTAAGTGCTGCTACTGTTTTAGACAAAGAAATAGATATGACTTTTTGGGAACAGCTGAGTTTTGCTGCAAATTAATCCTGCTGCAGACAGATCCTTTAAATAAAATAAAGGATCTACTTTAGGCCAAGTGAAAAGCAAGATGCCTGTTAAAAATCCCTTAAGCAATAGAATGCTGGTCCTGCCCAAGAAGATGGGCTTTTTGGAGTCTTAAAATAGTTTCCCTTGATGTTTAGGTGTATTTGCAGTATTTTGTGCTCTTGCTTACTGGCAGAGATGTGGTTTTTATACACAAAGACTTGGCCAGTGTTAAACCACAGATGTGTGAGAAAGGAAATGCAAGTTGATAATCTTATGGTCCCTTCCAGTTCTAACCATCGTACGGTTCTGTTTGCGACAGCACCAGGAGCAGAATTTGATCTCTGTGAGGAAATCCCTTCTGTTTATAAGTAGGGAACTAATACTCAAATATTAAGACTTGACAGTGGCAGAACGATTTTGTTGTAAAGTTTCTGGCATCTGTAGATCTAAATGTTGTTTTAGATTTCAGCATTTAAAAAATAAAATAAAATCCTGTTTTACCCTGGACTGCTCACCAAATAATTGGTTTAGGTGCATTGTAAAACCAATGGGGTGGCAGGGTTTTTAGACAGAATTGCATAATAATAACTAATAATTGTGTAATAACTAATTGTGTAATGAAATAGCTCTTTTAGTTATTGCTTGTTTCCTGAAGTTCTTCTGAAAAGCTTTTAATCCTGTGTAAACACATTGTAACCTAAACAGATAGTGAAATAAATAAGGTAACTTTGTTTTTCAAAGGAAAGTTGTGAGTTCTCTGTCTTTGCAGGATGTACCAGGACAAACTTGCATCTCTGAAGAGGCAATTACAGCAATTGCAGGAAGGTAAGCTTTGAAGGGGGTGGCTTTTTTCTTGTAACCAATTTTCAGCAGTTTTCAAAGGTCACAGAAGGATGAGGGGTTTGAAAGGTGGAGCAGGCAGCTGGCTCTCAGTCATGCTGCTGACTGAAACATGTCAGCCACTTCCCATCCTTTTCCCCTCTAAACACTTTTAGCAAAGCATTTGTTGAAAGGAGTAGTTGTCTTTCTGAAAAAAAACAGGGAACATGCTTATCAAAATAAGCAAACTAGAACTGTAGGGGGTTTTATTTCAGATATTAATCTTTGTGTTGTGAGTGGTATATGGCTCCTTGAGAAAATGTTTGGTAAAAGTAAAATTCTGATGGGGCTCCACAATTTATTTCAACGTAGGTACTCTGCAGGAATATCAGAAAAGAATGAAGAAGTTGGACCAGCAGTACAAGGAAAGGATACGAAATGCAGGTAAGCTGAATTTCATTCTAAGACACTGCATACAACTTAATGTCTTTTCTAACACCTGAAGAAAAGTAATGATAATTCTGTACTTGAAAGAAAAGGAATTTCTGGAGCAAAGGGTGGTTTTGCTTCCAAGGGCAAAGTGTAGGTTTCTTTGAGAGTGCACAAAGCATGATGGGGTCTGTCTTGATTTCCCCCCTTTAATCAGCATTGTTTGCTGACTGTTGTCTAAACACCAACAAACAGTTTTAGTCTTCATTTGTGTGGAACAGTGCGAGTGGCAAAAATGGTTTCATTCTTGTCTGGCACAAGTTAGGTTAGCCTACAGTCTCCCACTTTGGCTGCTTCTTTTGCGCAACTTGGCTGAAACCTCCAGGTGCCCTGTTTCTTCCAGTTTGCAGAAATGGAAAGTTAGGACCATGTGCTCTCCCAGAGATCTGGTTTGTGCCCTGGAACAAGGAGTGCAGAGGATTTGCTGCGGAAGCAGTTGCTCTGTTATAGCTGTGACACTGAGTGGGCTGCCAGCACTTTGTGTTCTGGAGCTCTGTCTCAGGAGCAAAGGCCCAAGTTAATTTTTAAAGTACCCAGCTCTCAGCCCATGTGGGTAGCCTTGATTGTGTTACTGCAGAGAAATGGCTTGGAAATCAGATCCCTTTGCTCATCCTCCCTCTTTCTTGTTTGTTCCCTTTCCAGGAGGTTCTTATCTTGGATACAGAAGTAGGGCCTTTTATAGAAAGGAAATTTAGCTGTTCTTTCTTTAGAAAAGTTGGATGAATCCTGTAATGCCTGGGCCATTACTCTGGGAAACAGGGCAGAGAGGCAGTGGCTAATGGCCTCCAACCTTTGAATAATATAAATTGTCTTTCTAAAAGTGCTTGGGATAGTAAAGGATTTGCTTGAGGAATTTGAGTGAATTGAACTACTTCTTGTTAACAGGAATCAGTCTTCTAAGGTGAATTTCATGTACATTAGAGCTACATGCTAGTAATACAGGATTACTTTGATAAAATTAAGCCGAACTGCAAACTCCTATTTCTGGCTGGCAAAGACCAGTGCTGCAGCAACATAACTCTTCCACAAGAGGGCAGATGGCGATAACTTTCAATTTTATGATTAAAAAATCCTTACCATGTTAAGGCTTTGGGTTTGGATTTTTGAGACTTCACAGATATTAAAGCAGTAGTTTAGGTTTACCTGTATCCGATTACCTCCATAACGTTGCTTCCATGCTCAACTGGTAGAGCTCTTTGCAAACAGAAGGTTTGACTTTTTTTTTATTGGACCATTATAATCTTTGGTTTCTATTTTGTTGGTTTTTAAAATTATTTTTAAAAAAAGGTACAGTAGTACAGTGTTACTGCTACAGTATTTTCCAGAATATATTTGAAGCATTTGATCTTTACAGAAGTTTCTACTATTTCAGGTATCACCAAAGCTTAATATGCTGGTGAAATATGGTGACTTAAGGACAGATCAGTTGCATTAATTTGCTCTTCTTGCTACTACCTTGAGTGAAAACTTTGTTTCGGGCATTATGTTCTCCAGGAAACACAAGAAGGATCCTGTCCTGCTTAATTGCAAGCTGTTAGGAATTGGAAATTATCAGTAGCAGGACTGTTTCACACCCAGAAATCCAGTTGCCTCATCCATAGGTCTGACTTGTCCTCATTGCCATGTGTTAGAACTTAACCTTCAGTGAAACATTTTTTTTTTTTTTATTGGACCATTATAATCTTTGGTTTCTATTTTGTTGGTTTTTAAAGTTATTTTTAAAAAAGTACAGTAGTGCAGTGTTACTACTACAGTATTTTCCAGAATATATTTGAAGCATTTGGTCTTTACAGAAGTTTCTACTATTTCAGGTGTCACCAAAGCTTAATATGCTGGTGAAATATGGTGACTTAAGGACAGATCAATTGCATTAATTTTGCTCTTCTTACCACTACCTTGAGTAAAAACTTTGTTTTGGGCATTACGTTCTCCAGGAAACACAAGAAGGATCCCATCCTGCTTAATTGCAAGCTGTTAGTAATTGGAAATCTGGTGAAATATGGTGACTTAAGGACAGATCAGTTGCATTAATTTGCTCTTCTTGCTACTACCTTGAGTGAAAACTTTGTTTCGGGCATTATGTTCTCCAGGAAACACAAGAAGGATCCTGTCCTGCTTAATTGCAAGCTGTTAGGAATTGGAAATTATCAGTAGCAGGACTGTTTCACACCCAGAAATCCAGTTGCCTCATCCATAGGTCTGACTTGTCCTCATTGCCATGTGTTAGAACTTAACCTTCAGTGAAACATAACAATTTCCTTGATTGTTTTCTTGGGCATAAGCAGCCTGAAATCAGACACGTGTGAGTTAGGTAAATGAATCTTCTACCAGCTGCAGAATTATTTCTTTTCCAGTCATTGCTGAAACTCATTAAGTTGGCCTAAACTGAATTTTTGCCAGCCATACATTGAGCAACATGATTCAAGCTTGTATCTGGGAAGTTTGTATCAAATACTAATTGATTGTAATTATTGCTGAAACTCATTAAGTTGGCCTAAACTGTGACTTTTTGCCAGGCATACATTGAGCAACATGATTCAAGCTTATATCTGAGAAGTTTGTATCAAATATTAATTGATAGTAATTAAACTGGAAGAAAGATGGCCTACACAATGAAACATAACAATTTCCTTGCTTGTTTTCTTGGGCATAAACAGCCTGAAATCAGACACGTGTGAGTTAAATGAAATGAATCTTCTACCAGCTGCAGAATTATTTCTTTTCCAGTCATTGCTGAAACTCATTAAGTTGGCCTAAACTGTGACTTTTTGCCAGGCATACATTGAGCAACATGATTCAAGCTTATATCTGAGAAGTTTGTATCAAATATTAATTGATAGTAATTAAACTGGAAGAAAGATGGCCTACATGCTTAGTACTGCTGGGAAAGTAGCTGAAGTGAATAGTATGGAATACTGCTGTGTAAACTTTGCAAATCTGCTTGACCCTCTGTAGAAAACTTCAATTAACAATGCATTTTTATGGAATTTTTTCATAGTTTCTCATCATTTTTTTCATTTTCACTGAAAGCAGCATAAAACTGCAAAGTGGGAGAAGAGGTTGGATGAGTACGTACAACCCTCTGTAGAAAACTTCAATTAACAATGCGTTTTTATGGAATTTTTTCATAGTTTCTCATAATTTTTTTTCATTTTCACTGAAAACAGCATAAAACTAGAAAGTGAGAGAAGAGGTTGGATGAGTACGTACGCTATTTAGTTCACTGTCTCTCCTGACTGCAATATTCAATGTCTTAAAATGTTAAGGAAGTCATTATATGCATCTTTAAAGATAATAAATTAAGTCTTTTTTGTCTTTCAGAATTGTTCCTCCAGCTGGAAGTAAGTACTCTTAATTTATCAAAATATATATTAAGTAGATGGAAGACGTATAAACCTAATTTCATTAACTATACTTGTGCTTGTTTTACCAGAAGGCTTAAAGAAATCTTCCTCTAACTGGTGTTATTACACTTGAAATGTAGTAGAGCCTACTGTTGGTATTACTTCAAGTAATTTCTGGACTTTGTCATTAGAATAGAATTAAAAGAAATATTTGCTCTGGTTCTGCTGTATGCTGGCTGTGCATTTGGCTTGTTTAAAAAGCTTGTTTAAGGTAAATGATGATGCTGTTTATAAATCTGAAGAGCTCACTGCTGGAGATCTGATGTTATGCAACATTAAAATGTTTTTTTAAAAATAATTAATTCTTTTGCCAATATAGAACAGCTTCCTTAGTCATTTTTAGATGGCTTTCTGTTGATTATGGATATTGATAATCTCTAGAACTAGTAGAGTTTTGAACTGAAAAGCTAATCAATAGAGTAATTGAAAGAAGCTGTTGTGATGTCATTAACTCGAGACATCGGTTCATTAGTTAACCTTTTTCTTCTTTTGGTGTGTGTTAGACAGATCAGGTGGAAAAAAACTACGTCAAGGAAAAGAAGGCAGCAGTCAAGGAGTTTGAAGATAAGAAAATTGAGCTTAAGGAAAACTTGATTGCAGAATTGGAAGAGAAAAAGAAGATGATTGAGAATGAAAAGCTGACCATGGAATTAACAGGAGGTAAAAACAAGATAAACATCTGTCATTTGTCTAATCCACTCTGCTGCTGCTTAGAAAAAAAGATACGAGGGTAGCGGTGCTGATTTATAGAGACTGTTAGCATGAGGGCTTTAAAGCTTGCCAAATGCCAACAGCTGTAGAACACAAATTGGTGGTCTTTTAATGGAGACAGCAGTTTGTAATGAAATTCAGTGACCTGAATTACTGACAGGTGAATCAAAATCATGCCAGTGAGGCAGCAGGATGGATGGGCTTTCTTATGTGCAGGGAAAGGGGCTGCCTCAGTTCCTGGGGTCTGGCCATAAAACTATTGAGAGATGCCACAGCATTGACCCAACTGGCAGTGCTTGGTTCTAAACTGCATCCTTCTTAAATCCATTAATAGGTGATCAAGAAGTGGAAGAAAGGTGAACAGTAAAGGTTGAAATAGGCTACTTAAAGCCAGAAAAATAGATTTTTTTTTGAGCTACATTTGTGTCCAGGCTCTGGAAACTGGACATTAAAGGGACAGATTTCTTTCGAGACCAGTTGGTACCTTTGGTGTCTTGGCAATGCTCTTTGCAGTAGTTGACACAGTGGAGCCAAATAGAGGGGTAATTAGCCTTGATCACAAATTGTGTTGCTGTGATACTGAACCAAAAGGCTGATTTGATTCTGTTTTTAAAAGTTACTTCCTCACTTCGTGGACAGATAATGTTGGTTGTGTTGCTGAGGCCAGGCCATGAGTTACACCTTTTATACCTTTCTTGCATAGTTCTACAGAAGTTATTTAAGCTAATAATTTAATTAGTGTTCAAAAGCAAGAATTGAAGCCAGTTTGGACATATTCAAGAGTGTTCTTGGCTTTGTACAAATTGTTAGGGCTAATCTGGTCTGGAAAGCACCTTGAGCTACGCTGTTTCCCTGATCTTTTGCTTTTTTTTCTTTTAATTGCAAAGTCTAGTCTGATCTTATAAATTGTGCCTATTGTTATCCTATGCCTGTGTCTGTTCACTACTCAGTTGGGATACAGTACTAATCTTGCAATCAGGTTTTCTTTAGTGGATCAGGATCCAACTAGGTGTTACCTTTGGAAATCTGCACACCTAGTATTCTAGGAGTCTGAAGAAATCCAATTTCTCTGGCAGTGGGACAGCAGTTAGCATCAGGATTTGTATTTGCAGAGTTAAAAGGAGACTGAGGAGAGGGGTAAAAAGAAGTATTTAGTAGTCTGATTTGGGGAGCAGATTAATCCCCTTCAGGGGAATGTGTCCCACCATTGTGTGTCCTGAAGAAAGGACATGTTTCATCAAATACGACTCTAGGAAAAGGCACGTAACCTTGGAGAAGAGACCCATTCTGTGTGTGTCAGCCCTCCCTTATCTCCTTCCTTCCAGACTGGCAGAAATGCAATGTGATTTCTTTAGAAGTACAGGGTTGTGTTGTGAACATGAGCTGGAGGCTATGAAATAAGGATACTGGGACGTGTTGACTTGATGGTTTATAAAACCTGTGGAAGTTGAGCATATACAAGGATGCACGTTGGCAGCCTGATGAATAGGCTCATCTGAGAGTGGTGGGAGCATTGCAGTTTCATGAGGTTGCAATAGTTGCCTCCTTTTCTGGAGTGTTGTATAGTCTGGTTCTTAATTATTAAGCCTCATGCAAGACTGTGTTTCAGGTTAAATTTGTTTGTGCTTTAGTGGCTCTTCAAAACTTCCTTTGAGTTTTCACGTCTCTCTTGAAAATCCCAAAGTTCTTCAGATGTTTACTGGTAAATGTAAGACTCAAACTCTGTGTTTTTTTCTGAAAACTTGGTGCTGCCTTTCAACTGACTCACCACAATTTTCAAATGCTAAAATAAAGAGAGGAAAAAAATTGATCCATCTGCCTTATTCACATCTTAAGCAATATAGATAACAGCTCTGGGACAACTCATTTGAAACTAATTTTTAAAAAGGAGAAAAAGCCTTCTTGACTTGGCTGCATATTGCCTTAAGTGCTTCAGACCCCTTTTCTGAGGCTCTTGTAGCTCAGTCTTAGCAAATGAGAAGAATTGCTTACACTCAACACACTAAGTTGCTTTTTTAGTGTCTGCAGGGCTATTAATGTTCAGTGGTTTTCAAGTTGAGCTTTGAATCCCAGAGATAAAATTTCCTTTGGCATACACTCGGTGGGTGGCACGTCACTTTATTTTTCTTTTAAAGCTTTTATCATAGTATTTCCTCCCTTGATGTGCAGCTTGGCCATCTCTGTTCATCTTTGAGATAAGGAGAAAAGTGACTTGGTGTATTTTTGAAGGTGTGTAGCTGCTTATGGTTTTAGCATCTAGAGGGAGCCAAAGGGGCTTCACAGACCTAAATGCTACCTGGGGTGTGAGTCAGGTGTACTTAAGGATGAGGAATAATAATTCTCAGCACATACAAAGAGAGGTGAGATGATGTGTTTAGCATTTAAGATGCGGTCTTTTGCCTATCAGTTCAAGATATCTTCATAAATTAAGGAATGATTTGTGAGAGTTTGAGTAAAGCAGTTCAGTTAAGACTACCTGTAGACATTTGGACAAACTGTAATTTCAGATAATTACTTGGTTGATGAGACTTGTGTTTCAATTTTAAACAGTGTTTTTTTTCTTTTTCCCCAGTGCATATGCTACAATTTATTTCCTGTCAGCTGCTGCTCTGCATGTTATTAATTAGGTTCATTTCATTAATCATAATTTGAAACGTTTTTAGATAATCTGAATTTAAATAGTATTTGTGTTTAAAATTGCTCCAGCAGACTTGTAGCAGTCTTGAATGCAGTAATTATCTGTATTCCTTTGACAAAGCTGTTTTCCAGCTTGAAGACACGAAAAAGAGAGCAATTGATTTGTAGCTGGTGTTTTTCATGCTATTAACTATCCACGTTTCGTTAGCAAAGAACTCCATGAACTTTGCCTTTTAAATGGCCTGTTCAAAAGCAGATGGCATTAGCACTATTTAAATTTGCCCTGAATCCTTGCAGCATCCTTGTGCTTGTTATCTGTACCTGAAGGAGCTGTGAAATGCCCCCAAACCAACTGTGCCACTTCCAGCCCGGGGGAGCTGTAACCGTGGCATCACCACCCTGTCTCTGAACGGTGACCTGGTATGAAAGAGAACTTGAATTCACTGTCAGCACTTTCAGCTTGGATGCTGGAAGCTATCACACACAAAAAAAAAATATCCAATTTTCTGTATGAAAGAGGAAAGATTATTTTCCTTGTGCCTTGTGTAGAAAGCTGCTGCTTCTTACTTCTTTCCCTCTGGTCTTATCAGCTCTCCCAACTTCATTATTCTACAGATTCGATGGAAGTGAAGCCTATTATGACAAGGAAACTGAGGCGACGGCCAAACGATCCAGTTCCTATCCCAGACAAGAGGAGGAAACCTGCCCCTGATATCCTTTACAGAGCCATTGGAGGGCTGTTGTGTTGTGTTTGAAGCCTGGAGCTGGGTTGCTTTATTCAGGAAGGAAAATGGAATGAGGTGCCAGGATCAGATTTTATTCTAGGAAATAAGCACAATTTGTCGTGTATAACGTGTGATAAATGAATGTAACACAATCAGTCTTTGGAGATCCCTCAGCATCCTAACTTAAACTTCACAATCTCATGAGAGAACTTACTTTCACTGACCAAAAAAAATAATTTGAATTCTTCAGGCATTTTTTTTTTCACAAAGGAAAAACTTTAAAAGAACGTTATATATAAATGCTGAGGTAATTGATTCCATAGATAGCAAATGGCTTTTTACATGAGCCAAAGCTTTTTCTCATTTCAAGATATGACAAAACATTTGCCAGAAAGATCATATTTGTCATATCAAACTAGTTTTTCCATTTCTGATAAGGGCTTCAGATCTCTAATCCAGAGAGATGCACAGCAAAAGCAAGGAGTGCTAGGTGTGTTCTTTGAATAAAAAAAAAAAGATGAAAATCCATCTTGGTTTTATATATCACAAGAGAGAGAAAAACATGTATATGTAATCCTTCTTTTCTGCCTTGTTGCATGTTTCTTATAATTAAAATGTTCCTTAGCTTCTGGAAATACATTTTTGTGACGATAGGCACTTTCTCTATTTGTATATTAAATTCACCTGGAGAGGAAGGCAGTGATATGCTTTGCAGAGCCTTATTAGATTCCAAACTTGTATGGCCTGAATCAGATTTTAAAAACTTATCTTATGACTTTGGAGTGACTCATTTTTCTGAAGGCAATATCAAATCTTGAACTTATAGAGTTGATGCGGGATGGTCATGAGCATCTCCAGTTTTTAATTAACCTCTTACTGGTTGGAGATTCTGTTTGCTCTTTCAGGGAAAAAAACCCATCTATTTATTAGTGCCCCTATCTCATCCAAAATAAATGAGTTTCATAGTGTATATGACCTGCTAATTGAGCATGATACAGCAGCCACAGTATGAAACTCTCTGCTTTTCCTCACTGGGGAAGGGATTAAAGTCCATCAGAACCAAAATCCTTAAAATGCAGCCTAGCAATTATTAACTAGAGTTTAATATTTTGAATGCTTTTGACTTAGCAGCTGTTTTGAAGAAACGCAGTAGATTAAAGCTGGAGGGTCTGCTGCTTTGTGTGGGTGTGACAAAGGAGCAGTAGAAAAGGGAAGCAGGAAGATATGATTGTGAAACTACATAAAATGGCAGCTTTCTGAGATTTTGGATTTGTTTTCAGGTGAATGGTAGACTCTCATTTAACCTCATCCACACAACGATGTGTTTTGTGCCTCTGGCTTTATTTTCTGGTTCTTTTTGGAGGCTTTTTTTGTGGGGTTTTCCCCTCTTCTCCCTACCTCTCTCTTCCTGCTTGCTGAGTTGCAAAATGATTAGTTTCTTTTCTAAGGTTTGGCTTCATTATACAAAATCTGAAGAGTCTGTTGTGTTTCAGCTCCCAGATTGTATTCTACAGAAATGCAAGATGAAAAACACTGGAGATGCTGGTGCTTGATGCCTCCATGAAGTAAATGTCAATGCACTAAAGGTTTTTCATTGATGGTTATGTCTGAACAAATTAAAATGATTTTGCACTCTATTTGCTGCTAATACGAGCCTCTGTGGAGATGAACTTGTATTAATTCATATGATTAAAAAAGCTAACGCTCATTAAAATCTTATGCAACTTTAAAGAAACCTCTTGGCTTACATTTAGTCAAGTGAAATGTCATTGACCTTTAATTTTTAGCTTTGCTTGTCAAGAGCTTATGGGAAACCTTAATTCCGGATACCTCAGCTAAATTATTTGTTGACTGATGAGCAAATAATGGAGGACCTGAGAACACTGAATAAGGTAGGGATTATTGCTTGATTTGTATTTCTTTGTTTTAAAGAGAAAGCTAATGCTTTCCCTGAAGAGAACAGAGCTCTGTTTCGTGTTCCTTTTTGAGATGTGGGACTATTTCCTCCCAGTAAGCTTTCTGAAGTAACACAATGAAAGATTTAGCGAGATGGTATCTCCTCCCTTTTATTTTAATAGGCTTAATTAACCTAATTAAAATGACTGTCATCTAAAAATGTAACCTTTTGTCTGAACCAAGTGATGAGCTATCTTAAGGAGGTTCATTCTTCCTCCGCGCGGCTGAACAGATGTTAACATGTCGTTCTGGGAGATCACGGGCTGCCTCTGGTTCAGGCCTTGGCATGGGGAGGTGGGCTTTTAGGGTTGGGTTTTTTCCCTCCCCACTGTCACAATACTTCAGCAAACTGCACAGGGTGCAGTGTGTGCATTTACAGTTTTTCTAGGTTTTATTAACCTATTGCTTTCTTGCTAAATGCTTTAAGGCTTATCTAATTTCTTATAATAGAGGCTGCTCATTAAGGCTTTTGAGGATGGTAGTGGAGCGTGCTTTTTGTGCCAGCTGTCGAGGTGTCTCTAATGATTTATCTCCTGTATTTTCTGTACCCTGAGAAATGTTGGATCATGTTCAAGGAATATAATGTGTTGGATGGGTTTGGTTTTGACTCGATGTAGTGGATTATCTGGATGCTCTGAAAGAGTTCAGTTTGTAGCCCTTTTGTATCGTGGTACTGATTATCTGCACCTTTGGCTGTTTATAGCATGCTGTTCTGGTTACGTGTGATGCTGCTTAACAGTACACTTTAAAAAAGAATCATGAAAGTAAGACTATCTGAAATTATTACTGCAGACTTCTATGGCTTGTGTCAGATCTCTAACGCTTCTTTGCTTTCTTCCTGTGTAGCTTAAATCACCCAAGAGACCAGGTGAGTTAACGGTTGCATTGGAACTCATTCACAGTCAGGCTGTTTTGAACAGAGAATTATCTTGTAGGTTTTTTGACTGCATAATTGCTGACTGTGTAATTTGACTGTATAATTGTTTTGACGGTGTAATTGCTGTTCTTTGTGTAGCTGCTGTGGCGAATGGCTGCTGTGTGGAGTCTCTTCATCCCTTCTGAAGTTTGTCGGGGTGGGAAGGGAGACGTGTGGATCTTTGGTGGCTGAAACATTTGGGTGGGGGACAATCTAACTGTATAAAGAGGTCTTTCCATTATATTCAGCTGCATCTGGGCAGCTTGCCTGCCTGTCAGGTAGATGGAGGGACTGAGAACTGCTTTTGGCTCTCCAGGTGTATCTGTACACTTTATTTCAAGACAGGGTGGGACTAACTTAGGTGTTTTTCTGATTGAGATTTGCGTCTGTAGCTTTCTGTGCAAATTATTTCTGCTTAATATGATGTTACTGATTTGTAATTCTGCAGTCAGTTATGCTGTTGTGTGGTCAACACATGCTAGTCTTTAAATACAGTCTCCCTCCTGTTCTCAGCCTCTCCCTCCTCTCCCGAGCACCTCCCAGCTACACCAGCAGAGTCTCCAGCACAGCGGTTTGAAGCCCGAATAGAAGATGGAAAACTCTACTATGATAAGAGATGGTAAGTCCTGGTAAACTTCTGCTTTAAACAGTCAGAGCCTTGTGTAGTGAGGAGACAAAGACTGCAGAGAGAAATTGCTTTGATAAAAGAATTTGGGGGCAAAACATTTTTGGGCAGAGCTTGGCCCCTTCCTAATCTAATGGGCTGATCATCGTGACTTTCCTTAAATCAGAAGCGACAATGGAGCATTCAGACCTTGTAGACTTTCAGTAGCAACTACCAGCTTGAATAAAAGGAGACTTAAATCTTTTCCATGGTGTCAGTGGTGCACACTGTGACACTTGAGAAACATTTTTGTCGAACCTGATGTTAAGAGAACCACCAGCAGAAGGAGAGTCCCCAGCAGACGCGGCGTGTCAGTGGTGCACACTGTGACACTTGAGAAACATTTTTGTCGAACCTGATGTTAAGAGGACCACCAGCAGAAGGAGAGCCCCCAGCAGACGCAGCATGATGTAGCTGTGAAGCTGGTCAGCTGGGATACAGATAGTCTGGGATGGCAGGGACAGTGGTGTCAGCACTATTCACCATCCTGGTGCTTGGTTTTGTGAAACATTAGCCTGTGGTTCCACAAGGTGGCAGAAGAAATGTGCACCAGATGAGCAGAATGAAAAATGTTTCTAATAACAACTCCAAATAACCTTTAAAGATCAAAGCCACATGGGAGAAGCAACTTCAGAATTGCTGATTTGATTTAGCTCTGGTAAGTTTTATGAGCGTAGAGCTGTGCAATCCTCACAAAACACGAGGAAAATATTAAATTCTGCGGAGAAATCTTAGTAGATCTTAAACTTAATCTGCGAGACATGCAAAACTGGATAATCAAGGGGGCCATCTAGTATGCCTTGAGCAGAAAGTAATTTGCAAGCTGTATGCTTATTTGTAGCCTACTTTGGTGATCTGGTGGCTCAAAATGACAAGTGATGAGGTTATAATTTCATCATGGAAAATGATAGGTGTGAAGCTTGTTTTCTATGCAACAGCCATCTCGTGCAGTTGGTCCGTTTTTCCTTCTGCTGGTGTTCTGAAGGTGAGGTTTCATCCAGGGTTTGGTGTAGACAACTCAGATAAACCTGCTGCCTGGAGCTTAAGCTGCTGGGAAGCGTAAAGCAGGCGTGAACTGAACAGGCTGCACGTTCTTTCAGAAATTCATGAAGTTTTTTTTCGCTTTCATAATTTTTTTGGTGTAAAGTGACTGTCCTCTAGGATATATTTGGATGAATAAACTCTTCTTCAGAATTCTAAGCATGAAAAAAGGAGAGGTGGACTCTGGAGTAATCTGTCAGCAAAGCTCCCAAGCTCCCACCGAATTTGAATCTGGGAGAGCTTCAGTGAACTCAGATGAATCTCTCAAAAGCACATACCTAAAAGTATCTGGTTAAGACATAAAACACTAACAGATATTTTGATCTTGCTGAATTCAGTTGTCACAGGGGTGTCACTCTCAGGAATTCCAGCCGTTGCCTTTTCTCTTTCCTCCTTGTTCTTATGCTGTTTTCAAAAAAGCATTTTACATCTCTTTTGGCTGTAATAATCCTGCTTGGATTTTTTTTTCTGATTGATAGCAGTAATACTTGTGCAAAGTAGCTGGTATTTTAAAGTAACAAAGTGACTGTTGATAGTGGGAAGGTAATTTTTTTTTTTTTCCTAAGGAGGATTAAGGCTGTAGCTGCTGGTGTGCACCAGGAACAATAAAACTGACAGCTCGGGAGTGACTGCTTTCTTTCGGTTTCCTGACAGCAGCCAGGAAAGACCATTATCTCAAAATAGTGAATGTTTAAGGCTAGTAATGGACTCCCAAAGGTCTTGCAGAGATATTTCACAAACATCTCTCCAAAGCGGAGACTTTGTGCAGGGAGTTTCAGAAAGATGTGGAATTAGACTTTAGTGTTTTATCCTCGGTCAATTTGCTGCCATCAGATCCTAAAATACAGCTCACTGTAAAACAACCATCTTTTTGCTTTTACCTTTGTCTGCATACAATAACACAGAGCCATTTCTTGCGATCCTCTGATGGAGATGCACTTGAAAATCTTGACCTTTCAGCAAAATATTTTGTAGCAGAAAGTGGAATGATTTTTGCTTGCCTCACTTGTGGGTATTGTGGTGTATTTTACCTCCTGCAAAAGCAGGAGTTGTTGGGCACTTTCCTGCTCTTGCAAGCCAACTTCAAATTCCATTGTGTTTTTCTTTCAAAGTGTTTTCCTCAGTTCTACCCCTCTGTTCCCCTGTGAGTTTATAAACTCCACCAAGGGCTGAGACGTGACCATGTAACTGAGATTCACCAGGCTGCTGTGCCTTCAGCTGAGCTGTGGAGCATGAGACGGTTGAGACAACTCTTCAATGAAAATGTGCTGAACTAACTTGTTACCTTGCCATTTCTGTGCCCAATTAACATAGATTTACTGATGGACACTAACTTGTGGTGTGAAATCCAGGGGCTGAAGCCAGCTTTGTCTGTGTCATTAGCTTTGGAATTCACTGATAATCAAAAATTGGAAGAAACAGCTTTGAGTGGAAAAATCGCTTCGTTATCGGTGCAGGCACAGATACCACTTGTGAGTTGTCGGGAGCTTGTGCACTGATTGTATCAAGATCATCAATTCTCCTTGCTTAAGCAGTCCTGGCATGGTAGGACACTGCTGGACTGAGGGGTTTATGCCTTATCTTAGCGAGGTCTGGTTTGTAATACCTTATGCCCTTCCTTTATATTAATTAATGATCATCTGGGCTCAGTAAACTGAGATTTTTGGCTGGGGTCCTGGCTGTTATTACGCTGCCCTGGGACCCACTGACATCCTTTCTGTTAAAATGAAGGACAAAGAGTAGTGGTTGGGCACAAGTGGCTAAAGGTTGTAGAATTTGAGGGCTTTTTTAATTACCTCACCCAGCCCATTGCTAATTAGTCTGTTTGAAAGGCTGAAACCTGTCACTATCATTCCTGTTACTGGCAACCAGCGTGAAAATTCTGAGTACTTGAGCCGGTAGGAAGAGATTATGGAATAAACTACTGGAAGACTTCCATATTTACAGTATGGTTATTGTAGAAATAACAGTAAAGATTATGCAAATCCACACATTTTGGCAAATGGCTGTCAGCCAATCAGGCTGCAGGGAGTTGCATACTGAGTAGTTACTGAGGGAATTTGCGCCGTGATTCTGCGGTTTAGGTTGCCCAGTTAAATATGAAGCACATCATGATGAGGCTAAAGGTGGAACTATAGTTATGCTTTTAGAACTCTAAAGGACTTCAGTATTCTCTTGGGTAAGATTATTTACTTACAAATAATCTGTTTCAGTATAATTAGTTCTGCCAATGGAACTCTCTGAGGCAGAATAAACAGAAACTGGGGAGTTTTGTGTAGCTCACTTTGCAGCACTTACCAGAGACATGGTCTGCGAAGGAGGTAAGACCATGAAGTTAAGCAATTCAGAATCATGGATTTGTTTTATACAAAATGCACTAAGAGAAATATATAGTATGACTAAAATATGATCTAAAAGGAGAAAAAAAAATTATATACTTAGACACAGCCTCCTTATGGCAGGTATGTCCAGCTTCTTACAGAGTCAGTTAGCCATCACTTCTTATTTTCTGAAAATATTCAAAATGGTACAGTATTAGAAATTTGAGGTCTCTGTTTAAACACTACATAGACTGCAGTGGTTGAGTACAATTCACTTTTTCACGGTGGTGGTGCACTAGCAATTTCATATTGGGGAATGTGAATAACTTTTGAGTATCTGTGATTTTTCTCTGTCACATTTTATCAGGCGTGATGTGGAGCTGCCTTCCAAAATCCATCCTGTGCCTGAAACATGAAAGGCTACTTTGATTAACTCTGGAAACACGGGCTTGTTATGAGTCGGTGTTCTCCTGTCCTGTGGCTTTGTGCTCTGCCCCTCCCTCTTTCAGCTGTAAAACCTGTTTTCAGGAATCTTCGTACAGAATCGAGAGTGAATCCGCCGTTGTGTTGGTGAAGATGAGGAAAGTGGTGTCGAAAGAAAGACAAATTTCATATATACTCCATCCAAATGCTTGTAGAATCCTGGCTCTATCAATCTTACGACTGTTTCTTTTCTCAGTCAGCTAATGGTTTCGTGCATTTCTTTTTTTATTTTTTATTTTTGCAGGTACCACAAGAGCCAGGCCATTTACCTGGAGTCTAAAGAGAACACTAAGATCAGCTGCGTGATCAGTTCTGTGGGCGCCAACGAGGTAGTGGCTGCTTTGTTTTTCATGGGAGTGGGGAAAGCTGTGGGTCACTGCAGGCAGGCAGACACTGTCTAGTGAGGACTAAGAGAAAAATTAAGATTATTTTCAGAAAGGTTGTAGTTGTCTGGTGTCTAAGGAAGTTGAATCCAAGGTAAAACTGAGTCGAGAGATCCCTTCTTGAGATGGGAAGAGACTTGCTGTGTTTCTAAAGAGTGACCCTACGTTTTGCAAGTAGTAGTTTGGCAGGTGGGGAAAAATGGGGGGGAGCTGACATATTGCATCTCACCAGCACTGTATTCACGTTTTCTATTCCCATTATTTCAAGAGCACAACTTGCAGTTCTTATTAATGCAAAATTAAAACAAATTAAAATGCCACCGACTTGGGAGTCACTGGTCTGAGACAATGATGAGGGCTTAGAGAGGCAGGTGAGGAGATGTGTGTGCCTAAGATTGATGTGGATCTTGCTGAAAATAAGCTTTGTGCTTGAGCGGTGCATCGGTTGGGCAAAGGGAGCGGTTCATTCTTTGCTTGCAGATTCCAGACACTTCAAGGAAAGAAATTACAGCCATGAATGCCTTTCTCTTCAATCAGCCAATGAAGCAACTTTAACTTGTTTTGGCAGCTAAGGGAAAATATTTTATTTTCAACAAAATGAGTTGCATATGGGATATGCTTTGTATCACAACTGTTCTCCTTGCAATAACAGTTGTTACGCTCAATGGTTGGTTATTTAGATAAAGTAGTAGTGGCATGCTAACGGATGCGTTAAAAATATAGTGCTGCTCATTTGAGTGAAGTTATTGCTGTTAACTTACAACATTAAAACTCAATCTCTTGGGAGCATCTTACCTGAAAACCTGAAGAAAACGCAGTCTGTTAATTCTTATTGCATGAATTCCGCTTTAAAGTGAGACTATGGGTTTTGGTTTGACTTAGTGGGGTTTTTTTTGAGAGAAGCTGGAGAGGAGGAAGGGCAGTTTGTCCCGTGATGGTTCATTGCAACAATATAAAGCCAAGGGAGATAGATACTTCACAGAACACTGAAATGAGAAGGTGCTCTCTGAGGAGTGAAATGTGAACATCTTGGATTTCATCATACACTTAAAAGCCTGGTTGCCAAACTCTGATCTTACTGATTCCTGCTTGAATTTAGAAGGCAGACCTAGATTTGAGGTCTCTAGTTGTAGACCTCAATCAAAAGTTGATACCGTTTCTAAAGGAAGGCAAATTATTCAAAGGAACTTTACTGAAAATATTTGCACAGGGTCTCCCCGCCAGCGTTTCTATTAATGCTCAAAGTGAAAAGACTTAAGAAACATCAGGGATGATATGACATAGAGTTGCTGCCTTGTGGCTGGGGAAAGGAGCAGTTATCAGTGTATCAGAGGTATCTGTCTTCATATGAAGGTCTAAATCAGTTTTCTTAAACTGGATTTGAATTTTGTAATTGGCTATGGGCCTCTCCAACACACAGTCTGAGCTATGATGATCCCTTAAAAAAACCCAAAAATATCTTCCCAGGCCCAGATTCTTTAAAACATGGTGTGTTTCGATCGGAACAGAATGCATTTCTATTACTTTTGAGATGATTTTCATGGAAACTGTGAATCAAATGCTGCATTGGTAGAAATCGTTGGCCAAGTGTGTGGAACCAATTCAGTCATTTGCCTTTGGACAGCAACAAACTCTTCAGTACATGCAGGAAAGGGTTTTCTTGTGGATTGGTGTTATGTTTTTTTTTATTATTATGATTATTCCCAAGAGTTTATTCAGCAATCTCAGTTTGCTGGAAGTTGAAAAAAGGAAGAAGCTTGTTTTACAGTCTAGGAATAAAAGAAATCCAGAGGCAGAAATGGTTGTTTCTATTCACCATCTCCTTCAGTTCTTTAGAATTTTAATAGATGTTATCTTCTGATTGCAAAATACATTGTATGCCTAAAACATCAGTTTTAAGTTCCGTATATGCCTTAATGCTTTTGTGTTTCTGAACTGGGTGGCATATTTTCTGTTAAGAAGTAATTTCACTGGGGTGATCACTTAAAACTGAATTTTAATTTTCCTCTAAATAGAACTTAACAAAGCAGTTAGCTTTAGCAAAACTAATAGACTATTCCATCATATTGTGATAGAATATAAGTACATGTTTGCTGTTGCATACAGTTGCCCTGAGTTTGTAGATTTAAGGATTCTTATGGTTAGGGAAACACAGGAAATTCTTGGAAATGTTGCAGAAGAGAGATTATTATCAGCAAAGGTGGATTTGAATTTCTCTAGGGAAATAACCACAGTACAAATGCAGGCAAATATTAAGTTCATTTTATATTGAGAGCTTCTGCTAGTAAAGTCAATTTATAATTAAAATAATAGAGTTAAATCAATCTCCCATGCAAGGCCTGTAGCTAATGTGATATCTAAAAAAATTAAAGTTTGGGATAAGTCACATGCCAACACTAACTTTATAGTCCTTTGCAGGAGGCAATATTGGCCTTGAGTCCTAAAATACTCCAGTGCTAAGAGCTGGATAACTCTTCCTTTCCATGCATTTATTTAAATATGTTTAAATGCATTAGGATGATAAAATGCAGAGGTGGTTTGCTCAGATTTGATTTTTAAAGTAGAGGTATTTGGGTCTAAACTTCTTGAAAGTGATTTTTACTTTTTAAAAATTCTGAGAGGTTGCCTCTATGGAAACAATTTGTCCTTTGAAACATATTGAATATCGACAAGTTGTGTGAATTCTTCCATGCAAATGTTTTTTAAAAAAGTCACCCTTTTATCTTCAGATACGATTTATTTAATACATTTTGAGAAATGCTTCACTGAGCAAAATCAGAATAAGCTTTTCATTTGACTAATCATTACTTGTCTGGGCAAATCCCAGGATAGATAATTTTATGATCTGTGGATCTAGAGAGACTTATTCTTGATTAGGTAAAGCTTAATGCCAGAGTTCTGTTGCGAGCTGTGGCAGATGGAAACTTGCTTTCCTGATGATGCTTGGAAGGAGTAATTTTTCTTGATGAGTGTTTTGAGCAGGAAGTTGAGGTTGTAAAGTTAGAAACTTTATTTCATTTTCTATTCAGGTTGCAAATGCTTAGTTTGGGGAGGGAGAAGGGATTAAGGGAAATAATCTTTGCACCCCGAGTAACAAAGATGTTCAGATCTGACACTAAGAATAGCTGGACTTGTCTGTGTATTGCTTTGTGTGAGTTTTCCCTTTTTCTCCCCAATATATCTCACTGCCCCTTTCTTTTTTTCCTTTTTTTTGTGCAGATCTGGGTGAGGAAAACCAGTGACAGCACAAAGATGAGGATCTATCTGGGACAGCTGCAGCGAGGTGTTTTTGTCATTCGTCGACGATCAGCTGCGTGACTGTATGCTCTTCCTTGGTCTTTTTTTTTCTTTTTTTTTTTTTTTTTTTTTTTTTTAAACCGATAGACAAACCTCTAATGGGGAATGACAGTCTGTTCACTCATCTTAGCAGCAGAGAATGCTGTCATGACCTCTCACGAGACAGTTTGTGGCTGGCCACATAATCCCCAGTAGTCCTTAAATCTTTAGTGATACCCAAGCACTGCCCTGGACTATTTCTGGATTTTTGCATCAAGCTTCTGTACGCTTCCTTTGTATTTTGGGTGACTATTTAAGAAGACTTTGCATCATACCTTTTTTTCATCATTGTTTGATGGTGCATAGATGGGACTCGTATGTTGAAAACAACGTAACGTTTGTGTTTTGAGTCAGACCAGTGGAAGAAGCTTTGCTTGTCAAGACCTGAGGTTATTCTTTCTTTTGGGGTTTGTTTTCCTGCGAGGCTCGGGATGTTGGGCAAAAGGAGATTAATCTTGCCAGCTTTCAGCTGCAGCCGAGAGATGCGTCTGTAATACCTGGTATATACAACATCAGCTTTAGTGGATGAACTGTTTGAAGACTTGAGTGCTGAGGCTTTTTTTTTTTTTTTTGGAAAGTGTGAACAGCTTAGAAACTGCTGAAAATCCAGTTGATTTTAATGTAGTTAAGCAGTCACGCGTCGTTAATCAGAAGCTTCCGTTTCTCTACACATTAAAAAACCCTTCAATGAGCAAGCAAAGAGTATGTCTATTTGCTGATGTCGATTTCCTGAAATAGGCAGATTGAGTATAAACCAAAGGATTAATTAAGTGGACTTTGCAGATAGCGAGACCGTGTGAAGGACAGGTATGAGTATAACCACTCATACACGTAGAGAGATGAAAGGTAAATTTCACTTTCTTCACTGATGCTCACGCTGGAGTCTTGCTGACAGGAGATACTGGGTCTGTTGTATCTTCCAAAGAAGCCTGGTACAGAGTGGAAAGTGGCATTGACATGCTCTTAGTTCCCTAAAATGCCATGCAAAGGTTTCCCTTTGAAGGGTGTTTTAATTACTGGAGATAACGCTGGGTTTCTACACTTGCCCAAGTGAAAATGCTAAAGTGATGATATTAATGTACTCCCTTCCAAGACGTTTAAAGATCTGACTCTTTTTGTTATTCCCAGTCTTTTGCTGGTGGCTGAAGCCACCGATACCACGTGTGACTGCACTGATGTGAACTGCAGAGTGCACTGGCCAAGGCTGTTGCATCTTTTCCTTTCTGAAGCCACCGATACCACGTGTGACTGCACCGATGTGAACTGCAGAGTGCACTGACAAGGCTGTTGCATCTTTGCCTTCTGTGCAAAAGAACTTTGTGCTCCTTTAGACTGTCGGACGAAAAGTTGTAATTTCTGCCTTCATCAATATCTGTCACTTTGAGGCATCTTTTGTTTTTGCTTTTTGAACTCCCTTCTCGTTCAGCATCAGTCGAGCCTGTCTTTCATATCTGGATAAATGGAGTATTTTAAATGACTGTTTCCATTTCTTTTCCTTACTGCAGTTGGGTGGCAGTCACATCCCAGTAACTGATGTACATACCTGGATGCCCAGTGGGGTGTTAGGGCTGAGTTTCTGAGGTGTAGCCTTTGTGGCTGGGACACTCAACCTCTTCTTACTGTGCTGAGTGTCTCAGCTGGAGAGATCTGGAGCTTTGGTGAGGAAAGGAGAGGGTGGCTGTTTCCCACCCCGTGGAAAGCTGCCATCCTTGCTGCCGTGTTAGTTGGGTGGAAAGCAGCAGGCTGTATTTTGTCAAGTTAACAGCATACTTAATATAACTTTGCATTCTCTGCATGTGTGACAGGTTTTTAATAAGGTGATGATGTACCAAACAGGATTTGTCACTGAGCCTTAAAACGAACATCATAGTTCGTTTTTATAATAAAAAGTGTTAAGTAAATAGCACTAGGTTTTATTTCCTACCTATATCACTGTTTGTGGAAATAGCTGGGAACTTTGGTTCAATTTTGGGGAGATACCTCGCCATCCTGCTAAGAGCAGGTGATCTCTCTGCTGCCATGATGTTACCTATTTGGGGGTAATTTTAAAAGTATTGGTGGAAGTGTGGCAACTCTTGGAGCCAGGCGTGGTAGAGGTGCACATTGTGTAAGCTTAATTACATAGCTTTAACACTGCATCTTAATCTGAATCAACAACATCTGCTCACCATCCCTGTTCCTTGGCAGGGGAGGGAAAGAATAGCTGCTCTTGCAGCCAAAAGCCTGTCTTCCCTTCAGCTCTGGCCTTACATTGCAAGGAGTGGGGGGTGCTGGGATGTGATGGGACATGTTTCTAGCTCACACTACATTGCAAGGAGTGGGGGGTGCTGGGATGAGATGGGACACGTTTCTAGCTCATGCCTAATCAGAATTTGAAGAGTCTTCTGGAAGCAAATATCTGTGGGACTGTTGCAGCGTCTCCCTCTTCCATAACCCCTCTGTGGACACTCAACTGTGCTCAAAAAGTTCCTGTTGTCATCAAGTGTCACCTGGTGGTGTACCAGATACCTGGGGAGCTCACCCTTGGACTGGAGGTAGTGGGGAAACAGCAAAGAAAGAATGAGGACAGTGAGCAGCTGGGTTGGGAAGGAGGAAATGGGAGTGGGCTGTGGTCTGGACTGGGGAGATGGGTATGTAAATTGGTGCTTCAGTGTGGAAGTTGTCAAAACTTCAGCTCAAACTCTGACTCTACTCTTTCATGCCAATCTTGGATCTCCTGGAAGGACATAGGTTTGTACAACTCCCCCCTGTCAGGACTCCCTGCCTGTAGCCAGTTTCCCCAGTGCCCTTGGATCAACCCTTAAACTATAATTTCTGCCTTTGCCAGTCCTGAGTGGGGGCTTGGAGCCCTCTTTGCTCCAATTTTACTGCTACACTGAAGGTATTTTGCTTTAAGACTGCTTCATCCTTAGTTTCTTATTTTAATAAAACGAAAATCTCTTTTGCCTTAGTTATAAAAAGTAGATCTGCCTCCTCTAACAAAGTTACATGAATATTGTATCCTGTATTTTCAAGCAGGCTGTTCTGTAATGGCCTGTGCCGTTTATGAGGCTGGAAACGATAAAAATGCGGCGCTTTATTGTGCACTCAGGGAAGCAGTACATTTTTTTAATCCTAGAAGGATGCTCAAAATGTGTTGTTGCGAGGATGAGGCATGTGGAGATCAAGAGTGTAGACATCAGCTGTAAAAATGAAGATTTCCTGCCACTGGTTGGAAAAATAGAGACAAGTTACTCAAGGAGATGGACAAGGTTTTGCTTAAATTCTAACAGAAAATTGGCTTTTCTGTCTACTGTTTTCCTGACTAACATCGGTGTTTTCAAGAATTCAAACCCTCAGTGAACAGAAATGGCTTTGCTGCAGCTATAAAAAGATTTAATCCTCATTATGGACAGCACTTAAAATAATTTCTTAAATTTACTTTAACTCCTGGTTATAGTAACTTTAAAGAGAGGTGAACTTTCTGCCAAAAATGGGCTTTTATTGAGGGTTAAATTATAGTTGGCTGTTGACTCACATCGAGCTGTTTTTTCGTTGCCCAGAGAAATGGTCTGTGATGTTGATCAAGTGCAAAAAAAGATTCTGCCCCCCCAGCCATTAGATGTTCAAAGGGACAGGAAGCCAGATCCCAGAACCGACTTCCACTGGCTTTTTGACATTGTGCTCACTGAAAGGTTCCAAAAGAGGCTTTTTCCTGGGATGAATCGAATAATAAAAAAAAAATTGTCTTTTTTTAGCTCATGTGCTTTGTCTGGAATTTTGTAGAGAGACAAAGTGATTTAATGACAGAAGTCTTGATGGTTTGCAATTTTTTTGTGCATTTCTGGGGAACTTAGGAAAATCAAACCTAAAAGAGCAAGAAATTGCTGTGACCCCCATGAATGACTGCAGTTCTTCCTCTTTCAGAATAAGAAAAATTGAAACACCTTTTGAGTTCTTGTTCCACAAAAGTAACTAACGAGTGCTAAATCATCAAGCACCTCTGAATGGGTGTCTGAGGTTTGCTGTTCTCAGTTTTAGTTTGTCCAACTCTAAAAATTTAATGTGTTTTAAAGTATTTAGAAAACAAAAGAGTGACTATTTCCACTTTTCTCACTGGGATGTCACATTTTATTTGGTTAAAGAATTCCACTATTTTAATGTTAAGTTGAGTTTGGGAAACACCTTTAACATCGAACATCAGCTCAAATTTGGGATACATCATACATTTGGGATATATCTTTTAATACATTAAGAACCGATCTCTTTACAGTGGAATCAATGCGCTGGTACTTAGATATTTTTTTAATGCATTTCTTTTATGCTTTTCTCGACAATATTCTTGATTTCAGATTAGTTAATAAATGTGCATAAAGAACTGTTTGGGTTTATATTACTTTACCAAGAGCCCAAAATCCCCACAAACCCACTGAAGCCTTTGGTTCTAAAATAGCAGTGCTTTGAGCAAAGCCAGTCATTTTTAGGGCTTTGGAACCAAGAGATCTCACCCGCTGGAAACAGCTACTGATTTATTTAATCAATCTTAAATTTGAAACCTATCAGTTGCCTCGTTACGCCTAAGGTAGCTTTTGTCATTTTTCATTTAGTTCTGATTTGCATCCACATGTTCTGCCCCAAATCTTGAGGGGGGAAAAAAAAAAAAATGATGAAACATATTTTCTTTTATTAATGTTCCTTATTTTTATTGAGTTAAGATTCTTTTGACAGTGGTGGCTGCCTGCAGATCTCTGCTATTTTAATGGCTATTCCAATTAGTGAAAGCTAATGGTCTGTAATGAAAAGAAATGCAAATCAAGGTTTAAAATTGGTGTTTTAAATCGAGGTTTCTGCTTGATGGTCGAAATCCTGTTTGGAATCAGTGACCAAAGGGTGTCAGATTGAGCAGGTTGATGGCACTGACTGACCTGGGGCTGGAGAGTGGGTGGTTCAGGACACACGGATGTAGCTCTGTGGCTGCTTCTCTTCTCAAATTAAAAGGTAGGTGGAGTTTTTTGTTTGTTTTGTATTTTTTTTCCAGGGAAGTAGTGGATGTCTGACAAATAATTGATTTCTGTAGAAACAGTTGAAGGTAGCTGCTGATGGTGTCACAATACCAAAGAATTACTCATTACAGGGAAGAAATATCCTTTTGCCCACGAACTAAATTTTAGTAACGGTGTGTAATAGTCACATGAATATTTTTTTGGAATGTGATTAGGAAGCAATGTTCCAAACCTCGTACATCATGAGGCACCGGGTAATGGGGAAAACTCTGAATACTAATGATGCTAAATCATGTAATACAGTTGCACCAAATTAGTATAAACACAGGAGGAAATATTCTGGTAAGGATTTCTCTGGTATTAAAAAACAATAAATCTGTGGAAATTGGGAATCACTAAACCTTTTGGTTTACTACTGTTCTGAAGATTGGGAGATGTGGTGGAAAAGTTTTGTGTGGAGCTTGGGACCAAAGGATGTGTGCTCTCTAACAGCATTTCACCACTCGAGTGTGAATTAGATCTCATTTTGTACCAAATACGAAATTTTGCAGTTGAGGAAAGGGAAATAACATGACAAAGCTGGCAGGATCCTTGCCAGCCCTGGCTTGGGCCATTGGCTATTTTCTCCCCTAAGAGACTTCAGCACTAGGGGTTTATTTGCTCTTTCAATTACAATGACACTTTTGAGGAGAGGTTTGAGAGTTTGGATGAAATGTAG